CATCCCCCCATATAGTATTTCATCCCCTCATATAGTATTTCATCCCTCATATAGTATTTCATCCCCCCATATAGTATTTCATCCCTCATACAGTAATTCATCCCTCATATAGTAATTCATCCCCCATATAGTATTTCATCCCTCATATAGTATTTCATCCCCCCATATAGTATTTCATCCCTCATATAGTAATTCATCCCCCCATATAGTATTTCATCCCCCCATATAGTATTTCATCCCCCCATATAGTATTTCATCCCTCATATAGTAATTCATCCCTGATATAGTAATTCATCCCCCATATAGTATTTCATCCCCCCATATAGTATTTCATCCCTCATAAAGTAATTCATCCCTCATATAGTATTTCATCCCCCACAGTACTATTCCCCCCCCCCCCCTTCTAGTAAGCCAAGTCCCCCGTGTCAATTCACTTACCTTTTGCGTTCCTCTCGCTGTCTTCCCGCGCCGTTCGGGTCTTCAGGGCGGACTGTGAGAGGAGCCTAGCTCCCCTCCCCTCACGTTCGGCACGCTGCCCCGCCTACACACATCCTGACAGCCACATCCGCAAGCCGGATTAAAAGGTCCGCGCGGACTTTTGGGGCTGCCAACCGAGAGGAGGCAGGGGAGCGGCCGACCGAGAGGAGGGAGGGGAGCAGGCGCCCGGCACACAGAAGAGCCGCATTAGACTGGGTAAAGAGCCGCATGTGGCTCGCGAGCCGCGGCTTGCCGACCACTGAATCATTAGATTCTAATGATTGGTCTATTTGTGAGCCGAAGCCACATGTTACAGATGAAATTGGAATTTTTCCCACGGCACACCAGACAATATCTCACGGCACACTAGTGTGCCGCGGCACAGTGGTTGAAAAACGCTGGTATAGAGCACCCCTTTTTCTACAATGATGCAGACAGTTACAAGTTCCGGGACACCCATTCTTCTGAGCACTCCCAAATCATTATCAGTCTGCTATGGCCATTGAAATGCTTTACAGTTTGTTAAAGAAGAATTTTTATCTTCCCATGCAGTGGGGCATAGGTTAACTGCTCGTTTTTGTCTAGGGGATTGCCATTTTTCTGAGCGCAAGACCAGTCCCTGCCATCCCTGCCCCCCCCCCCCCACACACACACACACTAGCGGTCTTGTGAATGGACTGTTCCTGATATCATCATGTCCATAGATCTGCTCTGGACGCAAGGATTTATTTATTTTTTTATTTATTTCAGGTACTTATATAGCACCATCAATTTACGCAGTGCTTTACATATATATTGTACATTCACATCAGTTCCTAACCCTCAAGGGGTGTACAAACTAAGGTCCCTAACTTACATTCATACATACTAGGGCCAATTTAGACAGGAGCCAATTAACCTACCAGCATATCTTTGGAGTGTGGGAGGAAACTGGAGTACCTGGAGGAAACCCACACAGGCACAGGGAGAACATGCAAACTCCAGGCAGGTGGTGCCATGCTTGGGATTTGAACCAACAACCCTAGTACTGCCAGGTGGAAGTGCTAACCAATTAGCCACTGTGCTGCATGGCAGGACCAGTCCAGCACTGGAGATGGGGGTGTGCTGTTTTCTGGAGTATACAAGAATCCGGTAAGTATAGCTTTTCCTTGGACAAAAGGAGCAGATAACCCATGCAGTGCTGCCCACTGCATAGGTAAATACAAAATTTTGCCCAGAGTTCTTCTTTAAGTGTGGTCACTGTTTAAATTATTCATCATGCAAACTAAATAAATACAATTTTAGGAAAGATTACTATTTAGGTTACAGTTCAGAATTGTAATTTTAGACCAGAACCCTAAATTTGGAATCAACACAAGATAAAATAACATAATTCAAACGTTCTAACACTTGCATTTGGGATATAAGCCATTTGTAGAGATAGTCAGATCATGGCAACAGATTAAAAAAAATGATTAGTGTTCCTTGCTCATGTGAAAAGCAATGATGGAATGTAATACTAGCCATAAACTAGTAGAATTTTATTTTGTTTTTGTTGTAAGAACATTCTTTGATTTTTCTATTCATTAGTGGGGTCAAATCAACATTAATTTTTTACCACAGTTATAGGAAAATTCAAAGGAGCAGGTTAGAATTTTTTTTCTTGAACTGATGAATTTCTAACAGTGAATGGGCTTTTCATTCAAAAAAGTCCATTTATTCCAAAATCAAATGTTAAAGGCAAACAAAACTTTAAAGTACTTTCAAATGACATTCGTCAAATAATCGAGAGTTTTGTATTTTGTTACAAAAGACTACTAGTGCATGGCCAGCTTTAGTCTTCTTGAGAGCCCAAAATTAATAACAATGGTCCTTATTTACCATGGGCTCTTCATTACCCTAGGTTCACACGTAAGTGTTTTCTGCTGTGTTTTACTTTTTGCAGAAACGTAGTACAGTCCATTTAACATGATTTCCTATGGGACAGGTTTACATCTCCACGTTTTTACCTGGTATGTTTTTTGGAAAGGGTCAAGGACTTTTTTGAAGGCAAAATGTTGCATTTTTGGTTCTATAGACTTCAACTGGAACACTGCAGAAAAGCATACATTGTGTTTTTACTGCGTTTCTCCAGCGTTTTTTTATGCGTTTTGCATTTAAAATCTGCCTAGCAACAAAAAAAACTTTAAAACTGAAAAAAAGAAAACCCCCGCAAAACACAATGCAGAAATGCCTCAAACACAACCTGTATAGGTATGAACCTAGACTTAGTGAATTGTACACATTCAAGATTGTGAATATTCAGTAGCAAATGATAATAAATGAGCTGGCTCACATGTCCTGGGGTTTGCCATTACTTATTTCATTACAAAACAATTATTGATTGGCTGTTATCTTGACTCAATGGAGCTGATTTGCTGAAGGTAAAAAGCCGGTTCACTTATCAAGGAAATTTGCACTTTGCGAGGGAAATTTCCTATAGTTTATTGAAGGAGGGGAAATTATGCCGTGCAAGCAAAAATACCATTTTTTAAAGTTTTTTTTATTTTTCCTTGCACATAATTACTCTATATTGTTCTGGGTCATTGCCTAAAGCTGAACTTTGGCCAAGAACTAATTTTGTAGTGAAAATAAATTAGCACTTATAAAGAATAACCTATTCCTGGTTGCTGCAGTGTCTGTTATCCTGGGTTCACTCTGGTGCAACTTGTCACAAATCGGTTCAAATCAGTGCAACTCTGGAAATAGTTTCTGCACTATTTTCAGTGATTTCAAGTGCGACTTACATTGATATCTGTGCATGAAGTCACACAAATGTCAGGCAAGCTGCATATGAAATCGCACTGGGTCCATGGCTTTGAAATTGTGCTACTTCAAGAATTGAATGAAAGTAAGAGATTTAGGGCCTGTTCACACTGACTGTTCATAGTACAGTTTTTTCTACATTGGATAAATGCCAGTCACCACATGGGCACATAAATAACAATTGTTTTACCTTGTTCACACTATAGTGATAGTGTGATGTACCATGAGGTGTGGTGCAGGGTGGAAAAATGCATTGATGCATTAATGATTACTTACTAATAGCTGGAAATAACTGCTAGCAACTGAGACAACAATTTAGAAGAACTCCGGGCAAAAGTTTAATTTCCCATGCAGTGGGGCCATGGTCTAAATAACTTTTCCTTGTACCCCTGGGTAAAAGGAGCAGTTAACTCTTGCAGTGCAGGCACAGCTCCACTGCATGGGAAAATAAAAATTTTGCCTGAAGTTCTTCTTTAAATCTGAACTCTGGAATAAGCAAATATTGGGGGGGGATTTAGTAAAAGGGGTGCACACAGAATCTAGTGCAGTTGTGCATAGCAACCAATCAGTTTCCAGGTTTTATGGTGAAAGCTTAAATTAGAAGTACAGCCAGTGCTCATTTGGCTGTTCTTCTCCTGTGGATCACAGGAGTGCAGTTTGTTCTCCTAAGGTCCACTGACGTCACTTAGTCGGTCCAGGCTGGGGAATGTCCACAACCATATGGTCTGGATCCACTCAAAGGCCTGCACTGGCACCAGAGAGCTTGAGCCAGCCGCTTCCGTCCCCTCTACAGCCCAGCGCTCTAGTGAGAGCTGGGGCCAAGCAGACAGCACTGACTGACAGTCACCATTCTTTACTCAGAGTGGCAGCAAGAACTGAACGATCAGGGGTGCCTGATCGCTCAGTTCTCACCCTTAGAGCCGACAGGAGACAGATGCAGCATTGGATCGATGCTGCATCCACATAGGTAGGTATGATAAAAAAATATGTACTTATCTTTTAATTGGACAAGCTGACGTTAGAAGCTGATTGCACAGCTGCACCAGAGTCTGTGTGCACCAGTTTTACTAAATCTCCCCCATTGTCTAAATTCAAAAGTCATGTGTATTCTTAGTGAAATCTTGGTGTATGTCTTCCAGATCTTCCTGTAAGCTTCCTGTAATAAAGACCGGTCACTGCTGATCTCTCTCTTTGTGCAGGGTGACTGGCCTCGTCTCCGCCCCCTCCGGTAGTTTTCTTCAGGTTGCCTATAGTGGGTGGAGCCTGCTGGGTCCCTCCCAAAGCTCTGCTTCCTTCACAGGATATGTATCCCCCCAGTGATTATGTCATTGCTACATTTATAAGGTAATATCTTAGTTTGTAAAGGCATTTGGTGCACACAAAGTGGATTTCTATCTTTTGTGGCTATTGAGGAATTTATTTACGTGAAAGTTTTTGTGCCCAAAATTCAACTAATATTTTTGTATAAACTGACTCTTGGCTGGTTCTTTTTAACCACTTGCCTACCGGCACTTATACCCCCTTCCTGCTCAGGCCAATTTTCGGCTTTCAGCGCTGATAGGCAGCACTGATAGGCACTGATAGGCAGCACTGTTGGGCACTGAGAGGCGGCACTGAGAGTCGGCACTGATGAGGTGGCACTGATATGCAGCACTGATAGGTGGCACTGATGAGGCGACACTGATGATGCTGCACTGATATGCAACAATGATGGGCACTGATAGGAGGAACTGATGGGCACTGATAGCAGGCACTGACTGGCGGCACTGATGGGCACTAACTGGCAGCACTGATGGATGGCACTGCTGGGCAGCACTGATGGGTGGCACTGATGGGGGCACTGCTGGGCACTGGTGGGTGGCACCGCGGGGCATAGGTGGGTGGCACTACTAGGCACTGATCGGCACAGGTGGGTGGCACTGCTGGGCACCGATCATCAGGGCACTGATCTACAGTGCCCTGATGATTGGTGCCGATCCTTCCTCTGACAATTGCCAGTTATCAGCAGTACTTTCCTAACAATGTGACAGCGTGAGGAAAGTGCAGCCAATAGCCGGCAACTGCATTTACCGGTGATTTTGGACACGGCTGATCATGTGGTAAAAGGCCGCTGTGATTGGCCTTTTACCACATCATGTGATCAGCTGTGTCCGTAGGACACAGCGATCATGGAGATCGCCAGGTGTGCACCCCTAGGGGGTGCACTAGAGGGAGTGTTCCGGGAGGACGTCATATGATGCCCTCCCAGGACTGGATAACCATGCTGTAGCCATCATTTGACTATAGCGTGGTTGGCAAGTGGTTAAAGTGTAACTGATGTTTTTATCAGAAAGTTTGACTGTGTCTTTTGAATGGTAGTTCTGCATATAAGGCAGATATCAAACAGTAAAATGCCTTTAGTACATCATTCTGGTTTTCATCTTGCCAACAATATTCATGTAACTTGGCTGGTGATAAAAGGGGTGGAGCCAGAGGGTGTCAATATTTGGCTAAAGGCCCCATTCTGTCAATTGCTTTTGATATTCAAACTTTGAACTAATAATCCTACTTAAGTATCAGTGTGCAAAGTATTCCCATGCTGAAGCAATTAGAAAAGATAAGATCATTGCCCAAAGAGTGTATTGAAACATAGTCCTTTTATAAAGACAATATATTAAGCTCTGTTTTTAAATTTGAATAGTCTGAGCCTCTTTTTAGGTATGGAGCTTAGGCTACTTCACAGCTTAGCCCTATTATAGTGCAGCGCTATATAGTAATAACTGGCTGATGCCTGTTTTTCTCTAATACATGCATTTAAAGTACTGTGTACTGTTAAGCAGTAAGAAAGCTGCAAAAATGAGTACAGAAATACCTCTGCTCTTATAACTAGAAATTAGCTAACAATTTCCAATTTGGCTGTTCAATGGTTTATGTAAGATTATCTGCTCTAACAATCAGTGCAGCATGTACTAATTACCAAAACGATTAGTATTAGAAAATAGTCAGAGTCAATCTGCAAGTGATATGAATTTAGCCGTAGGTGTTCTTTCTACATCCCACACATACTGTTTAGTGTGCATGAGGTTTGGGTTTGCTGCTACCAAAGTTTTTATGTATTTTTTATAATACCTTAAAAGCCACATGATAAGACCCTCCCCTGATGTATGGTAGTTTTAAATTTATTTTTTTGCATTGGCATGTGTGCCTAACAGTACCTGGGATTTCCCATGTCCGTTTTTTTAACGGCATTTTTGCCTATTCTTTGCCCTTAAAATGGCCAGACCCACTCACCCAGGCCTAACGGTCGTGAAAGGGGTGGGGTTGTCTGCTCCTTTAAACAAAATTTGCCCTCCATAGACTACAGTAGGATTCATTTTGAAGTTGGGATCTTTCCAGAGCCTGGACGGCTGAGTGATGTCAGGTGAAAATGGGTCACTGGAGTGCAGAAGGAAGGCCATACTTTTCCTTTAAGTTCTGGTTCAACACATTTTTAATAAGATTTGATGAATCCTTGTCAATTTGAACCCTGGTAGATTCATCTATCATTACTGTTTGTGTGACTATTTGGCAATGATAAGCCACACCTGATAAGCCTCAAAATGAAAAGTTGGCACACAACATACACACCTAGAGGCTGATGTTCTATAAGTGTATATTAGGGCAATATATGCTATATTGCCAAAAGTATTGGAACGCCTGCCTTTACATGCACATGAACTTTAGTGGCATCCCACTCTTAGTCAATAGGGTTCAATATTGAGTTGGCCCACCCTTTGCAGCTATAACAGCTTCAACTCTTCTGAGAAGACTGTCCACAAGGTTTAGAAGTGTGTCTATGGGAATGTTTCACCATTCTTCCAGAAGCGCATTTGTGAGATCAGCACTGATGTCGGACGAAAAGGCCTGACTCTCAGTCTCCACACTAATTCTTCCCAAAGTTGTTCTGTTGGGTTGAGGTCAGGACTCTGTGCAAGCCAGTCAAGTTCCTCCACCCCAGACTAGTTCATCATGTCTTTATGGACCTTGCTTTGTGTACTGGTTCACAGTCATGTTGGAACAGGAAGGGGCCATCCCCAAACTGTTTCCACAAAGCTGGGAGCATGAAATTGTCCAAAATGTTTTGGTATGCTGCCGCCTTAAGAGTTCCCTTCACTTGGCCAACTCATACAACTCTCACGGCTTCAACTACACACCTCTTATGCCGACGACACACAAATCTATCTCTCAATCCCCCCACCCTCACCCCCTTGGTCTCTGCCCGAATCACCACACCTAATGAAGAATATCAACGGATGTCGCTCCACTTCCTTAAAATGAACCTCTCCAAAACCGAAGTTTCTTGTTCTTCCCCCAGCCCGGACACGCATACCCCCCAATGATTTCTCCATCTTCATCTCAACAACGCTACCATCAAACGCCTCCCAAGCAGGCCGGTAGTAACTGGGGGTCATTCTCGGAACTCAAACCTATCCTCTCCAGCCCCAAGTCCAAATCTTTAACAAACCCGTGCAGACTCCACACCTCCGCACCATCGCCAAAATCCCGCACGTTCAACTAACCCCCAGAAACCACAAAACAGCTTCAAACCAACTCCCTCATCATATCACGACTCGACTACTGCAACTCCTCCTCACTGGCCTGCCTCGCCGCTGGCTATCCCGAATCACAGTCCACCTGAACACGGCTGCAAGACTCATACACCTTTCCAACCCGCTCTGTCTCTGCCACCCCCTCTCTGCTTAAATCCTCCCTCATGGCCTTCCCTAAGGGGCCAAGCTCAACCCCTAAAGAACAATCCCACACCATAATCCCCCTTCAACCAAACTCTACACTTGGCACAATGCAGTCATGCAAGTACTGTTCTTCTCACTACCGTCAACCCCCAGACACATCCATTGGATTGCCAAACAGAGAAGCATGATTTGCCACTCCAGAGAACACATCTTCACTGCTCTAGAGTCCACTGGCTTTACACCACTGCATCCGACGGTTTGCATTGCAATTGGTGATATAAGGCTTGGATGTAACTGATCGACCATGAAAACCCATTCCATGAAGCTCTCTACGCACTGTTGTTGTGGTAATCTGAAGGCCACATAAAGTTTGGAGGTCTTTAGTGATTGACTCTGCAGACAGTTGGCGACTTCTGTGCACTGTGTGCTTTAGCATGCGCTGACCCCACTCTGTCATTTTACGTGGCCTACCACTTTGTGGCTGAGTTGCTGTTGTTCCCAGTTGCTTCCACTTTGTTATAATATCACTAACAGTTGACCGCGGAATATTTAGTAGCAAGGAATTTCACAGATGGACTTATTGCACAGGTGGCAACCTATCACGGTACCGGGCTTGAATTCACTGAGCTCTTGAGAGTGACCCATTCTTTCACAAATTTTGTTAAAGTAGTCTGCATGCCTAGGTGCTTGATTTTATACACATGTGGCCATGGAGGTGATTGGAATACCTGAATCCAATGATTTGGAAGGGTTTCCCAATACATTTGGCAATATAGTGTATATGTAAATGCACTTTTTTGTATTAAAGTTTTGGATAGAGTTTGGAAAAGGTTAGAATCTTCGACAAGCTTTAAATTCTGTTAGTGTTCCCGCTGGGGAGATTTAGTACTCTATTAATGGTGAACATCACAGAAATAGAAAGTAAGGGAAAATCCACAAATTTGTAATGACTAGAACAAGATGTGAGGGAAAATCCTCTAATGGGGACAACTGTTTATGTGGCAACTCTCTAAGATGGGAGTTCTGTTTACTTTGGAGCAGGGGTGGACTGGCAACTCATGAGGCCCCCGGGCAATAGGGGATCATGGGGCCCCTGTGTCCTTGCCCAAACTCAAAAAAGCCTATGAAAAAGATACCAGGGGTATCTCATGGGGCCCCCTACTGACCCCAGGCCCTCGGGCAGTGCCCGAGTTTCCAAATGGGCAGTCCGCCCCTGCTTTGGAGAGATATCTTCTAATTTGCTGTTGCATCTCCAGGACAAGAAATGAATGAATATTTGCCCAGTGGTACACAGACAGCAAAAAAAAAAAAACTAATGGAGGGGGGGTCCCTTTTGTGTTCAAAACTAAAGTTTTTGTTTTTACATGACTTTTAAATTTTAGATGAAAAACACATTAAAGAGACCTTGCCACCTGGCCATTCATTTTGACAAATATTTTCCCCATAAGCTTATATGTGCATTTGTAACGTTTTATACATGATATTTACCTGTATATCTTCCCTGGTGTAGACATCAAGGAGCACTCCAGACTGTACCCAAGTTCCTCACTACTGCTGGGCACTGCTATTTTGTATGTGATGTCAGCAAACTCAGAGCTATCACACAAGTGAAGCTCTATATTATTCCCCTTCTTCCCTGGATTCTGGATTAAAGAATATACAGGGAGGGGATAATATCTGCAAGGAGGGAAAGGGCTGTGCTGCGGAATTGACTCTTCCTGGAATAGACTAATATTCTAGCAAGACCAAAGGCACTTTAAAAGTGAATTAAAAAAAAATATTAAGGACTTGTTCACACTTGACTAAATTTCAAACTCTTCAAAAACTCCCCTATAGCATTAGTATGGGGGTTAGACAGGTGTTAATGAGCTTTAGTATGAGCATTTTACAAGCGTTGAAACGCTCCCGAAACGCCGTATACGCAGTTTTGAGGTGTTTTTGTAGTCGCATTACAATCATTGAAACTGCACCACAAACGCCTATAATAAACTCTAATGGTATTAAAGCAAATGCCTGCCAGGGGTGTTTGAGGAGTGTCACCATAGGCTTGAATGTTATGAGTCAAATAAAAGAATGTTATAAATAAGATAAAAGATATAAGATATATATAAATATAAAATATAAGATATATATAAGATGTTACAATAATATGTTATCAGAAAACCATCTTCCGTATAGAATTCTGTGAATCAGAAGGAATATTATATCAGCTTACTATAATATAAAATATTTTAGGTGAAAGGAAGTAAACTGAGCGTTCGGTGTAATACACCTGGCTGTGTGTAATATGGACACTGAACTCCTGAGCGAGCTCTAAGGGCCATTCCACATCTGTGTGGAGTGTTTTACGTGTGTTACCATTGACCTCTATAGATTGTGTGTTTTGATGAAAGCATACCAA